CAAAAGTACTGTCCACAAGCATAAGTCAGGAATTACAAAGATAAAGTTTGAACTCCCATGAATTTAACTGACTTCTGTCCTGCAAAGAATTTGAAAGCACATAGTAAAAGGCTCTTTCATAGTATAAACAGAAAAAAAGAAGAAAACCAAACAATAAACCCACAAGGAAAAATGCTACACCACTGTGGAGGAAATACAGAAAAGAGACTAAAGACAACACAAGGAAGGCCTCAACTAAGTATTTTAGTTCATTCAGAACTTTTAAAATTTCAATCAGAAATTTTTAGTTTAAATTTACAAAGTTAGAATGAATAATAAGAATATGGATATGCAAATGGAAATTACCACAGCTAGCAAAAATCTCAATTCAAAAAGTTAAATGCTTGAAGTCTGATTAATCAGCATCTTACACTTCTAAAAATTTCTTTCACATGTAATGATGGTCCAGAGATTAATATTTTCAATAGCACCATCTAGCTGGGAGTGAAGCTCAAAAATAGTAGATATGGTTTCCTTACTTACAAAAAAAAAAAAAAACTGTGAAGAAAAGTAAGAGGAGATGGCAGTTGGGAAATTACAAGCTATTTCATTGGACCTCATTAGTATGAAAGGTTTTAAAATACATTTTGAAAGAGACAGTATATAAAGACACAGCGGTAAATGAAAAATGGGATAAAGTGAAACAGCAGTTTAACAAGCAGATACCATACAAATCATCCATATAGTTTTCTTAGATGAGGTAAAAGATTTTGTGAACAAATGAAGTGTAATAGATCTCATCTTTCAGGACTTCAGCAATGCATTTGACATCGTGCTATACGCTATTAAGGAATCTAAGGACTAAGACTTTTTTGCATAGTTAAAAAACAGCTAAAGGAGAAGTAATAGCAAGTAAGTGCCATTAAGAAGAGATGTATTGAATTGATTAAGATTAGCAGTGGGTCTTCAGGATCCATTCTGGGGCTACTGCTGTCCTTCTATAGCTCTTGATCACTGTGACCAAGGTAGAAGAGTACCTGCACACTCCAATGTCAGTAGAGTAGTGAAACTACAAATGGAGCGGCTTGGAGATGTAAGCCAAAGAAATGGGGTAAGCAACAAGGCGTGGGGCAGAAAATGAAAACATCATCTGGGAGATGACCCAGTAATGACAAATGAGGACTACAGTTGTCAATGAGAGAGTGACTAAACAGGTAACATGATGAAAAAAGCTGTAGGACATGAGAATGGGGATTTCCAGTAGAACCTGGGAGACAAGGAGATTTCCCATCCAAAGACACTAACAGAGTTGAGTTGTTTAGCAGAGCAAGAGAAGAGCTAACTAAGCATGTAACTGCTGCCTAGAAATGCCTTGAGGAAGAAGCCTTGAAGTAGTAGTTTATCTAATTCAAGGAGCAGCAACAGCATGGCGAGGGCAGGCAATGTACATGCCACACACTCATCTAGTCTGTACAGAAGGGAAGCAGCTATAAGCCAATGAGTTTCTCAAATAGTCTTCCATATAGAAGAGTGGGGGCAAAATTCCAGCCTTGAAGGATGATTCACAGCTGCAAGTATCACATGCTGTAACACCCTCTACAACTGCCTGGACCCACTGGTCACAAACTGTCCATTAGCTCTTCCATAATTAGTGTGCTACTGATACTATTACTGCTTTGATGTTACTGTTTTCATTTTGGGGGACATATCCAACACACCATTCCATTTTTTCACGTACACTTTTCATTACAAAATCCATGTAAAACTAATTACACAGATAAAGGCTTTTGCAATAATGCAGGCTACCTGAAAGTGAAAATAAATAGAAGAATATAGAGCTAAGATGATTTGAACAGCTAGGGCTCACACAAATATAACATTAATAATAATTAAGCATTCTGTGAAATAATTAATAATTATTTTATAAAATAATTTAGGGAAAACTGCAGAATTGTGCTTAAATTATTAGCTGCTTAGAAGAAGTTTGTCAGATGGGTGCTCTAAAGAGAAATGTAACAGAAACTGTATTTTTAGAACTTGTGGAGAGACACATATCTCCTGAAGAGAGTTAAGATTTGGCACTTCATATGAGCAGAGATGATCTGGCCCAAACATTCTTGTTTGCAGATGATGACTACTATATTATTCACTCTGTCTTGGCACAGTCAGTCAATAGAGGGAGTGCAGAAGAATAAAAAAGCCTTTTCTCTATTTGCTGATAACATTTTTAGCACATTTAGGGAGAAATCTGAAGAATCATAGTAATTTCTACACCCTAGAAAATGTGTTGAGCAGAGAGAAAAGGACAGAGAGGACATCAGGAGTTGCAAAATACAAAACAAAACACAGAAAAATGTCTCCAAAAAGGGAATGTGAAATTATAATCCTTAAAATACATTGTAAGAACATATTTGAAAGAACCATTCCAGGAAATAGTGTCTACTTATACCCATTAAGTTTACATTTGCTTGAAAACAAATCAGTAGATACTATACTAGGGATGACTCTAATCCTTGTATCCAAAATAATAAATTCAATGGATTAGCCAGGACAACAGCATTTTTTATCAAACAGAATTCATTTGTATCCAGCCTCACATTACCAGAAAAGTAGCTCTCTCCTAATTAGCAGAACTTGAACATTAACCTTTTGTCTTGACTGCAATCACTTCGATTAATGGTAATGTTCAGCCTCCTCAAAACGTCTTTCATAAATTGACTATTCCCATGGTAACAGCTGCTACTTTCATTCTACAAACACCAAGAAAATGTGATTTCCTTTATATCAGTAGGCCAGGCTGGGGGTGCAACTTTGGCCTTTGTCAATGCTTTTCAGATAAAACTGTTCATTCCAGAAGAAGAGGAAACAGGTGCAAGCACAGTTCAGGAAGCAGTTGTTGACTAATCCACGAAGCAGGTTTGGCAATGCTTTGAAAGGAAGCTGTCAGACAGCCTTCCTGCAATGCCAATATGTTCTGTGGCTGCATGAGGGAAGGACAAGCACATTCAACAGCAGCCACCAAACTTACATCAATATTTTTCGTGGGTTGTTGCTTGGATGGCATTTTTTTTCCTTTGTGCTTGTTTCTTTGGTGGTTCCACAAACAGTAGCAAGACACCAGCTTAATACCCCCACAAGAATAGTTGAGAAATGTAAATCAAGGATTTTCATTTCAAGAATATTGAACTTTAGCCAAAAAGAACATCAATTCATTGCTGAGATACTGACACAGCTTTAATGATTGATGTCTTCATCTTCAAGGCCCACAGCAGTCTATAAACAAAGTCCTAATCTCAGCTGAAGTGAATTCCCAAAGTAGCATCAGCTTCGGCGGGGCCAGCAAACGTTCACAACAAAGGTACTTCTTCCCCAGCGAGCCATGCAAAATTTTTCTGAAAGTTTATAAATCTGAGGCTTTTTCCAGAAAACCCATCTGTTGCATATGAACTCATCTGATACCTTTACCTTCTTTGAAACTGAAGGTTTCCAAGTCAATCTGTCAGGGTGAGAATGGATAAAGTGAGATTCACATCTACTTCTCCAGTAATCCACTGAAATAATCAAGTTTTCCCTTAGTCACAAATGCAAGATTCTGTCTTAACATAGAGCTGCAATTTTCCAAAGTTAGAATTGCATGTTCAGTTCCTTAAATTGGCCTTTAAAATACATTTTTAATTTTTTAATGAAAATTTTAGCATTCACATAAAGGACTGGCAAACAGCAAAGAGACTGAAAAATTAAACACAACTCTAGAAGCCCTTATTTTTTCCTTCTCCTTAATTACTCATTAACCCTTCCAGCACGAAACTAGGTGACTGCTTTCCTTGCCTTACGTACTTTTCATTCCAAGCATAACCAATCCCTGTTGTTAATTAGGCACTTTGAAAACCTGAACACCATTTGGCATCAGCTCTACTATTTTTAGCCAAAACTATCAAGTGTTTGAGAGAAAAGTGTTTGAGAAAAATCATGGATCTGCTTTTATGAAAATGAACAGTCAGTGGCTGCAATTGTGCAACCTACATAAACTCTGTCTCTGCCCATTCCACCAGATGTTAAGTTTGCTCAGAAATGGACTAATTTCTGATCCTCATGTCTCAGCATTTATCATGTTTCTGTATCTGCAGGTTTTGTTGCCATCAGAAGGTACCAAACCCAATTCCAACAGTAAAGCCCACAGCTTCTCCCACTGTAGCTGAAAAGGAAAATGCCACCAGTTAAGAATGAATAGGAGATTGTAAATACATTGCAAGCACCAAGCTGCTGTATTTATACTTACATGAGTATCACACTTCACGCCAATCAGACTCAAAACGTCACTCTGACACAGGATCATAATCCAAAAGGGGCCAAATTATATCTCTCCGTTCTGGGCTCACACTGGGGAAGTCTGGGTTTGAGCTGGCACCCAGCATTCCAAGCTCATGTTTATTTTCACTCCAGCTCCAAAAAAAAAATTGGTGAATAATCCAGAACTGCTCATCCAGGAAAGATTACCAAGGCTTGCCAAATTCCAGACTACAGTCCATGGAAAAAACCAAGTGCACAGATTTGCTGGCAAGAGATGCCTCTAAACACGCTCAATTTTGCACGTATTCTAGGGTGGTTCTCAAAAATGGTACAACCTTGGGAAAAGAAGTACAAGGGAATTAACTGAACCCTACCTGTGAACACCCTGAATACCCCTCAACATTAATGCAAAGGAACACCAAAAAATAATCCAAATTAAGAAAAGAGACCCAAAGTATTCATAGAAACCAAAAAAGTAACCAAAAATTTCCTGCAAATCAATGAAAAGGAGGAAATGCTTGGCAGGAAGGGTTGCCTGTAGGACTGGCAATATCATGGTAACAAAATCATTTTACAGGACAACTTGTTCTGATGCCACAGCCCAGTTTTGCAATTGTGCTACGGGCATCAGGATTTTTAAGGCACTATGCCCGCATCCCACAATACTAGTCCACACCCTGTTTGGTGACTTCCTCTGCAGTCTGGCCCATCTTCCACCTTGCACCTCCTACCTTCATTGGCCCTGGAGTCAGGAGAGGCAGCAGAAACATGCAGTGCTCCTTTTCCATTTTCCTCAAGGTTTGTTCTTCCTCTGAAGCAAAACCAGAGCAGAGCAGCCATACCTGTATGTTTTACAAGGACCTGTGGATGATAGTGAGTTCAAGGACTGGATAGAGCAAAGCTAGAAAGTGCCATACTGGAGAAGGATAGATAGAGACGAGGAGATCCCAACTACAATGCCTTCCAAATTAAATCCTTAGAGCGTAAGTTCTGGCTTCTTTCCTACCACTCCTGCAACAACATCAGCTCAGATTACAGAGGAAGCAGGCTAGGGAGGAGACCACTGTCCTGACCTACAAGTCCTATAAATCTCACTCACTCTTTGGCTCAGGAATATTAATACAATTGCCATATTTAGTGTCTTTATTATATTTAAACAAAAAAAATCAGTAATATGGGGGATTCAGTATGTTTGTTTGTCTACATACTTCTTTTAAGTGTCACCAGCTCCTGCAAAGCAGTGAATCACAGGCCCTTCCTACCTCATGCTAAGGAGACATAAACAGCATCCCTGCATCGCTCTTTGGGTTTTGATGCTTTTTTGCTTGCTTTTACCATATTAATGGAATTTATCTCACACCAATTGGTGAGCTCATTGCTGTCAAAGCAGATGGTAAGATGCGCCCGAAAAAAAAAATTTGGCATCTTTATTTCATGTGAGGGGAATGTAAGAGGAAAAGGATGTCTTTTCCATTTTCTGAGGGCTGAAACGAAAGTCAAAGCAAGTTTTTATGATCAACAGAGTTTGAGGAAAAATTACCCAGCTCCAGTGGATGCATACCTTGCATCTAGCTCCATCTAATTCCTTCCTCTGTGGTTTATTTGCCTCGTGGGCATGCCAGGCGCTGGGGGCTCATCGACTGACAGCATGCTATCAATCTGCTCCAGGCACCGGTGCTCAGGGAGCAGCGTTGTGAAGCAATTCAAGATACCAAAACCAGGAGCAAACTCATAGGGTACTCATGATAAAGAGGTAACATTTTTTTCTATATTTCCTGCAGTTATCTTGGAGAGATGCTAGCACAGTAACGTCCTCAGTGGGAAACTACTGCTCAGTACTGACTTCCCATTGTTGGCCACCTTACATATTCAAATAGAGATATAAATAGCACAGAGTTACAAAAATTAACAACAGCAGAAAAGGCCTGTGTGAGGATCAGACCTCCAAACATGACACTGCAGAAGAGATGCTGCATTGGAGCTATTCAGGCAGAAGGCTCTGCATTTGGAGAAGGAAGAAGAGCTTGCCAATTGGCATTCCAGCATTTAGTTGCTGGCCAAGATTTTCAAGGTTGAACTTTATACCCGTAGCTTCACAAAGGTCACACTTAGAAAACTATTGGGGCTTAACAGACCAAGGATGCATTTGGCTCTTATTCCAAGGCCCTTTCCTTGATATTAATATTGATGACAGTGGAACAAATATCTCAATAGCTGCACAGAAAGGCCAATGCACAAATGTGCTATACTCAACATATGGAAGAAGTCTGAAGCCTTAAAAACCACTTAATGAGAAAGCTGTGGATATCAACAGCAGAAGGAAAAATCTAAAATGGGAGCCAGAAGCCTATATCCTACCATGCTAATTTATATTGTTAGAGAGGAAAGTACATGGCAATGTTAGCTATGCTGAGGATTTTCAAAAGTTGCATTTATTTTTGGTTTTCTTTCAAAAATAGTGTTTCAATGAATATGCATTATGCTGGGTTTGTGGCACTGGTAGTGTATCGATCACCATGGTACCTGAGCACTCAAGCCAATGATTAACCAGTGGAGCAAATGAAACAGAAGCTGAGAGCCAAAAGGTACTGTGACAAGCTCTTCACAGACCTTATGGATGCCACAGCATCTCTGTCTAGACTTCTAGTCTTTCAGGCTTTCCTCTGTCTATCTTCCCTGCTCTTAGGATAACCAGATCTTTTTTCCAAACAGTGCTAAGGGATACAGAGATCTCAGACTGGCTTAGGAGAAAGGAGGAGATAAAAAAACCCCAACCAACAAACCCAAAAAAACAATACACAAATATTTTCATCAGGAAAACATTGCTTAAGCACACAGTAAGGGAAAAAAAAAATATTTTCATTTCCATAAATTGATTATGAATTGACAAACTTAGTTATGTCTGCCCTGCTATCAACTTAATCCTTAAAATTACTGTTCTGAAGAAGAAAAACAAGTCTTTGCTCACTAAGGAAATTACCTTTCAAGGGACTGATGCAGACCATACTTGAACACCACTAGCTTCATTTAATAGTAATGAAAATAATACATAAAAACATATGGCTATGTGCCTTCTTGAAAAAGATCAGAGATTGCATCAGCCCCTCTCCACACTGCAAATAAGCAACAAATTAACACAACTCTCGTGATGTTTGTTTAACATATGTGCATACCACTAGTGTGAGCTTTTTTTGGGTTGGGACCCTTAAGCAGAAGCCTCTGGATTTCAGAAAAAGAAATCTGACGAATTATCTATCCCTAGCTGTTTTGTTTTCTGGTCAAAGTCTCTGAGGGGCACAGGAAAGTTGAGGGCCTTGCATGCAGGCCAACTTGACAAAGGCTAAATCCTTTCTGTACTGGGGAATTGTGCAGCTATAATATAACCCTCACTGAAGAAGTTTCCTGTTTTCCATCAGTAATCAAGGCAATGATGCTGCATTCTAATTAAATTGGTGTCACGTGGAGTTTTTCCCCTTTACTGTAGCTACTTCACACTTAGGAGGTAGTTACATCCAGTTTATCCTTTAAAAGAGGAGTAGGCTTTGGGGACAAGGCCCCATTACCAGCAATGAAAACCCAAGTGCTCACATCCTAGTGCAGTTACAATATGTTGCATTACTACTGTGCCCCAGCAGCAGCAGCAGCAGGATCCTCTGCGCACTTCATCGGCATTATAATCGAAGCTAAGAAAGACATGTTTGTTTAGCTGTTGTAAACGGCTTTGAAGATCTTGGTTTCAGCCAGGGTGATGAATTAAGGATCTCAGCTGGGCAAACAGTGTAATTTTGAATGAATTTAGCTAAAATAGATTACTGAGAAAGCAATATGGATTTTTCAAATTCATATTATTCCACATACTTAAGCAGTAAATATTTCACCCCTTCTTACCATCTGAGTCACCGGCATAGAACTGGAAGAATCAGCAATGATACCAGCTTCTCAAACACAAAACCAACTTAGGATACTATAAACAGGTGTGAAAAGCCACTTTTCGACTGCAGCAGGGAGTACAGCCCTCAGAGAGTTTATCCCTCAGCTGACTACATTTCTGCCTGATAGCAATTCTGCAAAGCAGCCTGTACATGGTAATTAAAGCATTTTATGACAAAACTCAGAAACCAACAACTGCAAAGAACTATTCCGTAGCAGAGTAATTTATTAGAAGTACCTGGCTTTTGTTTTCCCTGGTACATTTTCAAATGAATTAAAATAATAACTTAAGGGGAAAGAAAATTATCTTTAAATAATGGTGGGTTTGTTTTTTTTTCTCTCCCAGGTAATTTGGAGTCAGGAGGAATCTAAAATAACAGCATGATTGTTGAAAATTACAGGGTAAAGTTGGAAACCTCTAGAGGTCATCTAGTCTGGCCTCACTCATGCTCAAACCAGTGCCACCTTGGAACAGATAATTCCGAATTAAAAGGGAAAGGAAATAATTTAAAGGAAAAAGAAAGGAAAAAAAAATGAAGACTTTCTCTATTCCCTTTTGCACCAGAAGGAAAACTAATGCAAGGGAATATGTTCTTGAAACATACAGTTCTTTTGTGTTGTTTGTAAGTAAATATGACCAACCTGGCAAAATAGATTAAAGCTGCCACCTTTGTTTGACCTAGTTCCGTTTCTGCCTTGATGCAGGTAACATTTAGCATAATGTATGGCAAAGTCCGACTCAGTTGCCAGCTCTGCTCTGCCACACTGCTGGCCAGAAAAGGCTGGGAATGCTGCATGTTCAGCTCCAGTGAAAAGGAAAATGGTCCATATCATTCATTAGCAGTCTGCTCCAAGCTAATTAAGGAACTGAACCGACAGCTGCTGTAGAGGGTTCCACCTCATCTTTTCCTGGGAAAGCAAGGTCTCTGGGCCAAGGCCTGGACTCCACAGAAAAGAAGCATAGGGTGGGGGAACCTTACAAGATCTCAGTGAAACCCAGATGACTCATCAGAAAGTAAAATGTTTCTATTTTGGCAAGAGGCTGAAATAGCAGCCCTGGGTTGTGCTGCAGCAATAAATGACCCTAAGTGCCTGGGACAAACTCCTGTGCACACTGATATTCCTAACAGCAGGGGCTATTTCACATCTCATTAAGCAAAGGGGTTTACATGACAATTAACACATTAATTAGCAGCATCTTTTTCACAGGTGAAAATTTGGCTTGAGATTTCAACATTTTTAGACAACTGCTCTGTGAGTGAAAATTAAGGAATAGTGTATTATGCCTCAAGGTGAGTAGGACTTACGTGTTGAACTGGCCTAGCAGTATGTTTGTGTGCTGAAGGACACTGCAACCTGGTGATGGCCAGTCCCATAACTTGCATGGAGGGAGGGCCTCCTTGTACAATCTGCACTCTGCCATGCAAAGCCCAGCCCTTGGCATGGGCAAGGGGCCAGGCTGGCCACTTCATGAGCTGACCATAAACAAGCCTAATGAACCACAAAGTCACATAGGGACAAAGCAAGGCCTGGACTTCAAGGAGCAGTAGCTCCCATTCCTCAGCCCTAGCTGCTGACCTGTGTGGCTCCCCACTACAAAAATCCCATTGACTGTATTTGTAGAGACATAACACCAAAAAGCAACCCTGATAATTTCACTGAAAATAGGTATCAGCTATAAGAGAATGTTTACTGCCATAGAGCTTCACATCTTAGATAGAGAGTTAATAATTTCTACCGGAGACCACTTTGAAAAAGAGTTGGCACTATTAAGCTGTGTGAGTATTTCTCTCTGAGGTTTTTGTTCAGTACATCATCTTTAATTTCTATTCTCTTTTGAGAGAATGAATTTACAAGCATACAGGAAGACGTAGAGTACTGGAAATTTAATGAAAGGAAGGAAAAATTGGAAACTGGAACTTGAAGTTTGCAAGATCAGGTGGATTCTGACAGTCATTGGGTACATTCCATATCAGATGGATGTTGCCAACCCACGGGAAATAGTGGCATGCTTTGTATATGTTATTTTTCACCTCCCTCAGGTACAAACTGCAAGGAAGCTGTGTTCTAAACAATGTATAAACTAACAAAAAAACACACTAATATTTTATATATTTTGGCACTCAAAGCATAGATAAATCACTGTGTCATAGCCTAACCTATCATATCACTTACAAAATAAATCCAGGTTCAGGAGGAACACTAGATAACTTGTCCTTTAATTAGGTTTTAAAAGCTGATGGTTTGTTTCAGAATATGATTTATTTCTTTTATTTATCAGCCTGCCTTGTTTCAAATGGGTACTGTCTGACTGACCTCTAGGTACCCTTGCATTTGCTCTGTGATATCCCCAGAATGTCAATGCTTTGATTCTTCATCTTTCATTTCCCAAACATTTCTTATTGGTCACTTCTGGTAGCGGTGGCAGCTAGAAGTGGAAGTTTATCCTCTGATAATCAGTACTGCTTTAATGGTTCCCAGCATCCTGAGGATATTTTCCAAGTGTTATGGTGACACCAGCTGAGATCTTGGCAATAGAAAAGTGTTTAACATGTTTATTTTCTAACTTAGTCTCTTGTGGTTTTTTTGGCTTTCCCAACCCTCTGCCACCCCCTTGATTTCTATGGCTTAACGCTTTTTGTTATTACTATATTCTTAGTTTTCACTTCTCAATATCTTTCTTATTTAAAAGCCTTTGAAAAACCTGAGGGCATTCCTACTATGCATCCAAAAATCTCTTAATAAATTTCTCCGAGCCTCCAAGCCACATTTGTCTAAAAACGGAGCAAAAATCTCCTCTAAAAGGAAGAACAATAGTCACATCTTTGCTATGTATTTCTCTGTAAACTAGAGTCTAGGAACTATAGCATAGAAACCTTGTAAAACGACAAGCACGTTTCAAACAGTTCTAATACAAAATGTGACACATAAAACAGGTCACTGGTTTTAGCATGTCTCCAAAATAATATATGCTTGGAAATGCTTATCCTTGTAGCATCACTATCCTCTTTTTTCCTGTGAGAAAATGAATCTTGCAGAAGCATGCCTGAAAAAGCAAAATTCTCATATAATTTCAATCACTCAGTTTGTTCATGACTTTTATACAGCTGACTGAACATTTATTATCTCACGTGAAATAGAAGCTGTGAGTTTGCTCACCTTTGTCACCTGCAGGATCTTTGAAATGCCTCCTCTTCTGTTTCTTCCAAAGAGTATGTTTCTGCATCTCCCAGTCATTCCCGAGTCCACTGAACATGCAGACATCAATAAGTTCTGGCTAAGTTATCCTACGTAACTCTGAAGAAAAAAGGAGAGACTTGCAGATGCTGCAGAAGGTCTTCTTTACTCTCTTGATAAATTTTGTTTTCTTGGTGGTCTGTCACAGTCAGGTCTCCGGTAGTAAACTGAACAACCTATCCTCCTGGCTCTTCTTTTCTTCTTTTTCTTTTCTGTAAACACATAATCAGGGCTTCAAATCCTTTAGGCATCACAAACTGTATTTCTCTATTGCCCTCTACTGACTGCTGGCTCACGCCGCCTTCCCGGAGAAGTGGCGAGCAACAGATCCGCGGTACGCGCTTCTCGCCGCCCTCCCCCGGATCGATAATGATACACGATGACCAAAAGTCAACACAAATCATTCTATTTTTTCCTTTCTTACAAAACACCAGGCAAGATTTACAGCCTATTGGCCAGCCGTGGTAGCTACAAAACGCTACACAACAGAATCAGGAAGCAGTTCGTAACATGGCTCTGCTAACGTGGGCTTTTTTTTTTTTTTTTTTTGGTGAACAAAAGCCAGGAAAAAGTAGAGACGAACGCGTTCTGCCTTGAAATGCGGATGAATTCATCGCACCGATGCCACAAATACTGTCTCGGGGATCTGAGAGCTGTCTGATTTTAAGAGTTTGTCCTGCCAGCACTGGATGCACAGAAATACTGCCTTTTGATGGGAGTTCTGCAGGAAGGGGCTGAGGTAGAGATTCATGGTAGAGAGCCATGAATTTGAGGCCACGGATATTGGCCATTTCCCCTTTGTCTCTAGTGCTTTAGCACATTCAGCAGCACACCTAACATGGGAAAGCCTCATGTGACGGGACCTGGGACGGGGCACATCACCCTGTGTGCGGATGGCACCGGGAGTGGCTGTTTGCCCTGCTTCTTGGACAAAGATGATCTATAAAGCAAAGAGAATCCAGCAAACTAAGATAAAAAAAGGAATGGCCCAGTGTTGTCTCAGGAGCAGAAGTAAGGGGGAAAAAAAAAAAAAAGTGTATAAGCATTTCAGGCAGACTGGAAGAGACTGAGGGAGAAAAAAAGCAGCGATATAAAGAGTGTAAGAGTGAAGTTGGAGGGGGGCGGGGGTGTGAATATAAATGAATCCTTTGCATTGTGTTAGTCACTGCTTAATAAGTATAGCACATGCTGGTTAATCAGGTCACTCAGGCACTTGTTCTCACAAGAAAAAGTTAATCCACAGTGCTGGTGCAGATGCTCTGGCCCACCTGCACCACTCCAGGGGCAGGGAGGAGTCAGGTCCCAGCTCCAGGCAAAAGAAAAAATCCCTAGCACATTTCCCTTTATCTGGGCAGATGCTGGGAAAGAACGTGGCTTTATCTTGCCTTGCCATTCTTCCTCCACAACCAACTTCCCTAGGGAACAAACATGTTTAAAAAATTATAAACACAGACCCATCCCTAAAAAAAAGTGTTGGAATTATTTTTGCTTACTTGTGTTCATAAAGTACTTTCATTTTCCCCCTCCAATATTAATAAATGGGAATTTCATTTGCCAAAAAAAATCTTTTGACTGAGAACACTGGTTGTGTTTTGAATAGATTTTGTGACATCCCTGTTCTTCAACTCAAAAAATGTAGGAGTTCACTCAAAAGTCAGGCTCAAGAAAGCCAGCAACATGGCAACAAAAATGCAATATTGAAAGGTTAATTGAAAGAATTAGTTTCATTAAAAAACAGAGTCAGCAGAGGCCCTAATTGTACCTATTATGAGCATTTCATTAACAAGTCCAGATTTATTGACTGTGCAGTAAAGCTCTCTTAAAGGAAGCCTTGAAATTCCTTTTTCCCCTTGCTTTTCCATCCCTAAAGCCCTTGGCTGCTCCTTGTCAGAAAAAAAGAAATAATTATATTTATTCAAATTCCTCGATAGAATATTGAAGCTTGCTCAGCTGAATACCTCTCCTAAATGAACACCATTACCAGTATCACAGGATAAAAACGTCTAGCCAATGAACAGGGTGGAGGGAATTAATAAAACACACATCAAATGGTGAAATGCTGAGCGTTTTGTTTTGGGGCTTTTTTGGGGGGGCTGGGGGGCTGCTGGATTTGAGGTTTTTGTTTGTTTTGTTTGGTTGGGGTTTTTTATTTGGGTTTTGGGAACTTTTTTTGTTTGTTTGGGGTTTTGGTGGTGGTGGTGGTGGTTTTGTTTTTTAATGGGAGTACATTTGCAGAGTGATAAGGCAAAGTCCACAGTCGCCAAAATCCACTGAAAAGACACCTCAAATAGAGAGGGTGAGAGATGAAGTTTTCAGCACTGCCGAGCATCAGGCAGATTTCTGGAGCTGCTGGTGCACATCTTTCACCTGACAACCCCTAACAGAGGGGTTTGGAGTTTTTCTTTTTTCCACAGAATCATAATACTGTGATTAAAGGAAGCTCTGCAAATCACCCAGTCCAGCCCTCCTACCAGGGTCCCGTGGCGCAGGTGACACAGGAACGCATCCAGGTGGGTTTGGAACATCACCAGGGGAGATTCCATGACCTCTCTGGGCCAGCCTAAGTGCTCTGCCGCCCTCTAGGGAAAACAGTTCTTCCTCACCTTTTTCTTTCCCCCACGGCAGAAGTTTCCTTTCCTACGGGAAAACTTTTCACAGGGCCGGGGACAGAAGCGGCTCCCCGAGGCGGCAGTCGCTCTGCGAGCGGGCCCGGGGCGGGCTCGGCTCCCGCGGCCCCTCGGCCCTCGCTCGCAGCCCCGGGC